GCTTGGTGCGTTCCCAACCGCCAAGCCCCGCTTCACCTCCCTGGTGGCGCCGGAGACGAAAGGAAGGGCCTGTGGCCAGCGGCCCCCCCCGCCAGCGCCCTCTCGGGACGTCTCGGCCTTGGGTCCCGGCCATGCCTTACCTACCTGCTCTAGTGCGTCCCCCTGAACCCCCACTTCTGGGCGCAGTGACGCTTTCTTCCCTTCCCAGCTTTCTCTCTCCCCTACCGCCTGCCCGCACTCCTACTAGGACTGTGATCTGGGAGTATTTGCTCCCCAGCTCAGGACGCCCTTTGGGACCCACAGGAATGAGGCCCCGGGGAAAGGAGAGGGAGGCCGAGGGAAAACGCTAGACCTCCCTGCCCTGGACGGTTTGGCTCAGTGGATAGAGCGTCGGCCTGAGGACTGAAGGGTCCCAGGTTCGATTCTGGTCAAGGGCAGGTACCTTGGTTGTGGGCACATCCCCAGTAGGGAGTGTGCAGGAGGCAGCTGATGGATGTTTCTCTCCCTTCAATGTTTCTGACTCTCTATCCCTCTCCCTTCCTCTCTATAAAAAATCAGTAAAATAAAAATATCAATAAAATATATTTTAAAAAGAAAACGCTAGACCCCCCCTCCTCCCTCTCCCTTGCCCTCTGAGTGCTGGGGGAGGGGCGTGCTGTGGGGTGGCCCCTGGGAGTGACATCTCAGGGCTTCTCTTCTCCCACCCTGGGCCTTGGCAAGAACCCTCCGCGCCCTCCCCTACCGCCGGAGAGCTGGTGACGCAGGGGCTGTCCCCACAGATGGATGGAGCTTCGTGCTCCCACCACTTGGAGTGCTCCAGTGACTGCTGCCTCATGGACTTGGACCACGGAGGCGAATTCTGTGCCCCCAAGGGCAGAAAAACCACAGTGTGCTTGCCCCAGGTGAGGCTCTGGGTGGAGAAGGTTAAAAACCCCACATGGCTACACCTGCTTTCTCACCCTCTGCTTGGTGTGCCCATCCTCCTCCCGCACCTGGCAAACTCCTCCTCGCCCTGCAATGCCAGCCACTCCCTCTGACAAGCCTTCTCTCCTTGGACTCCCCACACCCTTGGCCCAGACCCTCAGCAGGGCCCGGGCCTCCCTGGTGGCCATGCCTCCGTCTGCGTCCCCCACAGCACACTCATCTTTGAACCTCCTACCCCTCAGCTTAGTGCCCGCGCAACGCAGGTGCTCAACACATGTTTGTTGAATGGAAATCTACCGCAACATCACTGAGGCAAAGTGGGGAAGACATTCTCCCCAGCAGCCCACCCCCTCACTTCTGGAGAGAAGCGAGGCACCGCAGTGGCAGGAGCACAGCTTTGGAGCTGGGCCTGAGTGCAGATCCTGGCTTCCCACCCCGTCTTGGCGACCTCAGACAGGTCACTTCTGCTCTGGCCTTGGTTTCCTCATCTGTAAAATGGGGTCACAGACCTCCCCCACCAGGTTGCTGGGAAGAGTGTGCGTTCCTGGCAGCGACAGAGCTCCGCTGCGCATGCTGGTTATTAGCTGGTGGAAACGCGGGGAGCGGTGTGCGCAGTCCGTCTTGGACCTGCTCGTCTTCTCTCATCTGGCCCTGGGCCCACACCCCTCTAGGGAGGCTGGGCTCGGCCTCCGGCCTCCGTGGTCCTGTCTGGGGAGCTGCCGGTGCCCTTGGGAGCAGCCAGGCCCCCGCCCTGGCCTGACTCTCTCGCAGAAGTGGCCAGAGGGTCTTTTCATTGTGAGCCCTTGATCAAACTCATTTCACTTAATCCTCTTAATAACCCTAGGAGGTGGGTTACAGTTATTAGCTCCTTTCACAGATGAGGAAAGGGAGACAAAGTTGCCTAAGGTCGTGAAGGTATAAGCTGTAGAGATGACAGGCCCCAGGTCCGACTCACCATGACTTGTGCTCCCGAGAAGTTTAAACCCCCTTCTTCCCGAACCTTGGTGACCCCCAACTCTCATACTCACTTCCCACAGACCAAGGGAGCCATCAACTTCATATGCCCCTGCCGACTGGGCTTGAGTTGCATACCCAAGGACCCGAGCTGTCCCCGACGCTGCTATTTGATTTAGAGGACGATGCGGGTGGTCACTGCCATCCTCCCCTCTCCCTCGGGCCAGAGGCCTTGGAGTCTCCATCTTGTTCACAGTCCAGCTCCAGACACATTAAAGTCCGTCTTTGGCTCTGGCCTCTGTGCATTTCCTGGGAGAGGGAACCTGGTAGCGCTCGTCCCAGTCTGGGGCCTGTGAAAGGGGAGACTGGAGGCATGAAAGAGCTTCCCCTGGGGTTTGGCCTTGGAGGAGGCATGGTGGCCCCAGGGCAGTGCTTGGGAAGGGAGTGGGGTGGGACGTGTGGGTGAGAGGCTGGGTCCAGGAAGGGCCAGTCGGATGGATGCCTGTGTGGAAGGGGCAGAGTTGAAGAATGTGCCTAGAGCATGGATGTTGAGGTGCCTGTGGGTGGCTGGGAGAGGGAACCTGGTAGCGCTCGTCCCAGTCTGGGGCCTGTGAAAGGGGAGACTGGAGGCATGAAAGAGCTTCCCCTGGGGTTTGGCCTTGGAGGAGGCATGGTGGCCCCAGGGCAGTGCTTGGGAAGGGAGTGGGGTGGACGTGTGGGTGAGAGGCTGGGTCCAGGAAGGGCCAGTCGGATGGACGCCTGTGTGGAAGGGGCAGAGTTGAAGAATGTGCCTGGAGCGCAGATGTTGAGGTGCCCGTGGGTGCCTGTGTGGTAGGAGGGACTGAGAGGGAGTATGTAAACACGTTGCAAGGGGGTAAAAGGGTGGAGGTCATTGAGAGCGGATTTGTGAGAATGTGCGTGAAGTGTGGATGCAGAAATGCTCGTGCCTGTGGTTGGAAAGGCATCTGGTGCGCTGTTACCTCTGCTCTCTCAGATGTGACCACTTCACAGATAAAGAAACAGGCTCAGAGAGCTACCTGACTTGTCCAAGGGCACCCCATGGGGGTATCAGCAAGTTCTTTCTGCTGCAAGTATATCCTATATTATAAAAGGCTAATATGCAAATTGACCGATCGGTCAATATGACGAGTACTAACCACCAGGGGGCAGACGCTCAACGCAGGAGCTGCCCCCTGATGGTCAGTGTGCTCCCACAGGAGAAGCGCCACTCAGCCAGAAGCTGGTCTCACAGCTGGTGAGCGCAGTGGTGGTGGTGGGAGCCTCTCCCACCTCCGCAGCGCTAAGGATGTCCGACTGACCAGGCCTGAGCTGTCAGTCAGACATCCCTCAAGGGCTCCCAGACTGAGAGGGTGCAGGTTGGGCTGAGGAACGCCCCCCCGCCCCCACCAGTGCACGAATTTCGTGTGCAGGGCCTCTAGTATATAAATAAAAGAAGGGTGCTTGACTCAAAGTTCCAACAAACCAGCAGCTGCCGTTGCTGCAGTTCCGTCTTCAGCTTCACAAAGTTTCCATTAACCCAGAACTTGCTAAGTCATCTCTCAGTGCGAACAGGTCCACCAGAAATGGACACCGATTTTCATGACAAATATGGCAGCACTGTATTAACTAGCAGAGTCACTCTCTGTGTTGCTACGTGGACATGTACAGCAACACGCATTGGCATAGAATGGAACCTGTCCCCTGTTGGCAGAATCACCTCAAAGGAATGGAGAGATCAGTGATCATCCCAGCGGGGGGAAGAAGGAATTGTCTCAAAACCAACTCATAACTGATACCAAGTGAAAGCACTTGACATTAAAGTACAGCACGATTGTGAAGAAACCTTCAAAAAAAACAAATTGGTCTAAATGATGAGGGAACCCATTGGTGGTCAGAAGTAGACATTTAAAGGCAGGGCAGGCCTCAGGTCTGGCTGAATCCAGCCACTCCATGGCCTCAGGCTGGATTCCTCTCCACATAAGTTCTAGATATCACCTAACAAAAACAGCTAGGATTTACTGACAACTTATGCCCCAGACATTATACGAAGTGTCTTCTAATCTGTATTAACTCACTGATACAGCAAGGTAATATATAATTATCCTCATTTTACAAATAGGGAGTTAAGGCTCAATAAGCCTTCTCAAGGGTTCATAGTAAGGGTGGGACTGGGGTTTGGACCCAGGCCTCTTACCCACAAATCCACCTCACACATGCATATTGTGCCTTCCAGAGAGAGGAACTGTCTCTGTCCCAGGATTCTTAGCAAACACCCTAGGATTGATTCTGATTGGATTGACTTCATCTGCAAAGGGGGTAAGACAGCAAATGCTCACGCTTCCTAAAAGGGTATGGCCAACAGGCAGCATGAATTATTTTCACTTGAGAAAAACTTGTACACATGACTATAGCTAGTTGCAAGGGAGACTGGGAAATGTAGTTTTCATGTGTCCAGTTAAAGCTTGGGGTTCTGTTATTAAAGGACATAGGGAGAATCTACAGTGAGAGCAACTTGCCTCCACAAAATCCTTCTTTATTTTAATGAGCAAGAGGAGCTTGGATGCCACGACCTAGAGGTGATGGTGTACTGTTAGGCAGCTCTCACTTGGGCTGTGCACTCTGGCTTAACCATACCATCGGGAGGAGGTGGTGGAGGGGAGCACACGACCCCCGACTTCCCAGCAAGCCTTGTGGGAAAGGCCAGCTGAGTGGGTCACTGTGGGAAACAGGGTAGACGTGTCGATAGTACTCAGGAAAGCAGCTCTCCATGTTTATATCCGGGATCCGTGGCTTTCTTTCCTGCAGGAGGTGAACATGGCAAAATTTTCATGAAGATTATTTTTTTTTTAATTTGAGGTTTCTCTCACAGAACTGAAGGGTCCCAGGTTTGATTCCGGTGAAGGGCATGTACCTTGGTTGCGGGCATATCCCCAGTAGGGGGTGTGCAGGAGGCAGCTGATAGATGTTTCTAACTCTCTATCCTTCTCCCTTCCTCTCTGTAAAAAAATCAATAAAATAGGTAGTACTCGGGAGAGCAGCTCTCCATGTCTATATCCATGATCCATGGCTTTCTTTCCTGCAGGAGGCAAACATGGCAAAATTTTCATGAAGATTATATTTTTTAATTTGAGGTTTCTTTCACAGAGTGAAAAAATTTTAAAATATATTTTTATTGCTTTCAGAGAGTAAGGGAGGTATCAGTGATGAGAGAGAATCATTGATTGGCTACCTCCTGTACACACCACACCACACTAGGGATCAAGCCTGCAACCCAGGCATGTGCCCTAACCGGGAATCCAACCGTGACCTCCTGGTTCATAGGTCGACACTCAACACCTGAGCCATGGTGGCCCCTGAGCCATGCCGGCCCCTGAGCCAGCTGGCTGGAGTGCTATTTCTCCCCACCCCAAACATTGACAGCATGCCACCCTTAGGGTTAATGATGAGCTTTGGGGCAGGTGTGACTCCTCCCCTCCAAGTCCCCAACAAGGAAAGCTCCCTGGCCTTAGGGACAGACTTGAGGAGTGGGGGAGGGGCAGGGGGAGTGGCAGAAGCACACGCATGCTCCCAGCCTGGTGGTGGGTTTGGCAGGAAGGTGTGCCAATCACCTGTTTGCTGTTTGCCCGCCTCCTGCTCTGCTCTTTGCCCCTGGGCACACCTTTCCCAGTCTCCTTTGTCTTCTGGTTCTAGGACTGGCTGAAGGCAGGAGGGCAGGCGATGGCACCTTCGGCTTCAGGTGATGCCAGCAGTCCCCAGGGACTCCGGTCGCAGCGTCAGCACATTGTTCCTCCAGCCACAGGGGCATTGGTGTCGACCTGCTGGCCGTCTCCCTGCTGCCCGACAGCCTGCGAGCATGGCCGTGTATTAAATTCTCTCTATGTCAAACACCTAGAGTGGTTTCTGTCTTCCAGGCGGCTCCGACTGCTAGAGAAAGAAACCTTCCAAGTGGAAGCAAAGCGATACTGGACCACTAGCCCCTCCTTAAATGGGCAGAATTCACTCCAAACACAATTAACCGCTTTGGAAAGAGAGCTGAGAATGGTAGTGACTTACGAAAAGTCTTACAAATACTTTTACTTTGAAACACTTTAAAGCCAATAAAGACTGAGTAGACTTCATAAAAGCTGTGCCAGTGACGTTGTGCATTGTTTAAATTAGGCACAATGGCTGGCTCCCGTCAATTCCCATTTGCCACATCTAAGGAACGTCTACTGATCTGGCCGCCAAGGGTCCACTGCTCCCTTTCTCTCGGTGACCCTGAATTTCCCGCAGGAAACTATCTCCCCCTCCCCACAGCCCCTGAAGTGGAGAGAGGCTGCCTGCACATCAGAGCACGGAATCCTCCACCAGAGATCGGCTCAACGGGCTCCCATGAGGTTCCTGCTGCTTTAGGGACAGGTTTGGGATGGGCACGTGATCTAGTTTGTCCAATCAGAGTGAAGCTTAGGATTTGCACGAGTCACCAAAATGTAATACTTCCTCTTCCACTGGACTATTTTCCTTTCTCTTCCACTGGACTTGAGCTTGGGAGAAAGGAGGCCTGTGGCTGTTGGCAGCCGTCTTATCCCTCACCGTGTGGACTCAGAACGAAGCCAGCTCAGAGGAGAGTGGAGACTAGTGTCTTCATTCCGCCCCTGAGACGAGCTGTGTCTTAACCAGATAGCTCTACCTCTGGACTTTTACGTTTCAAAACCCAGAAAATTCACTTTTTCCTTAACCACTTTGGGTTGGGTTTCTGTCGCTTGTGATCAAGTAAGCCCTTTCGGACTCTCTGTCCTGCTCAGAAGGCGTGCGGAAGTGCACCCAGGCAGGCTGGCTTCCCCAGGAACGGAGTGGCTGAAATTCCATTGTGGGCCTCCGGGAGAAGGGAGTACAACGATGCAAACCAGCCCAGGTGGTGAGGCTCCGCCTTTGATGTGGACCTATGAACCAGGAGGTCAGGGTTCAATTCCTGGTCAGGGCACATGCCTGGGTTGTGGGCTCGATCCCCAGTAGGGGGCCTGCAGGAGGCAGCCAATCAATGATTCTCATCATCATTGATGTTTCTATTTCTCTCTCTCTCTCTCCCTTCCTCTCTGAAATCAATAAAAAAAAAAAAGAAAAAAAGATGAAAACCAGGGTCTAATCTTCTACCACCTGACAGCTTTGCGACTTTGGGGAAGTTTAGCAACCTCTCTGGGTCTTAGTCACTTCATCGGAGAGACAAGATGTCATAATGTGGAAGGATAGTAAGAAGCTAGGAAAATTCCTGGGCGAGTGGA